AAGCGCACCACATTGTTGTAAACAATCCACTTCTCATCACCAGTTATCAGTTGCTTCGAAACAGGATCGTTTTCCTCACGTTTAATGAGCATATTGCAGATGTTTATACGTGCCATCAAATGAGCTTCTTTGAGTTCATGCGGAACCTAAATATCGAGCTTGCTTACATATCCCAGCTTCTTCAGGTGGTCATGAATGCTTGAATGATGGATGTTCAATGTTTCTGCAATCTCTCGTGTCATGTAACGTGGGTTTGACTCGATCAATGCCTTTATTTTGTCATCATCAACCTCAGTGGGCCTCCTGTCCAAGGAGCGTCGTTGAGATCAAAATCACCAGCACGGAATTTTCATGAACCATCGTTGGCACTGACGTTCTTATAGAGCATTGTCACTGAAAATTTTATGCAACTTTTCACAATCTTGACGCACGTTCTTCCCTTTATGGAAGTAAAACAGTAAAATATGGCAAAAATGCAGTTTGCTCTTCCATCTTCAACTTGTTGTAAAATCTCCAAAACTCAACCAAATCGCTCAATTTGTTTTTAGAACGAAGGTAGAACTGTCAGCTGTCAAATGACATAGCAATAACATAGATGCGAATGACTCTAGTACTTCCAAAAATGAACTAGTGCCATCTGTTGCAAACATGCGTCATGACTTTTCCGAAGACCAAATAGTCATGAGGGGAATGAAAATCACAACCACTACATACCCACTAACATTGCCAAACAAAGGTAGTACTAGTAGTTTTGGCATGGAAGAATTGGAACCCTCATACTATGCTGGTGGGAACGTAACATGGTGTGTCCACTTTAGAAAGCAGTCTGGCCATTTCTCAAATAGTTGAATATTGAATTACCATATGAACCAGGAATTCCACCCTAAGTATATGCCCAGGAAAATAAAACCCTATGTCCACACAAAAACTTGTATATGAATGTTCATAGCAACTTTAGTCATAATAGCCAAAGAAAGAGAAGGAAACAACCCAAATGTACATCAAATAATAAATTTAAAACTGTAGTACAGGGCCGGCCGAGTGGCTCGTTGGTTAAGAGTTGGCTTGTGAGCACAAGCTCTGAGCAGCAGGGCCACCGGTCCAGATCCCACATGGGCCAGTGACACTGCACCCTCTACAGCTAAGATGGTGAACAACAAACAGCTCAACCTGGAGCTGGGCTGCTGTGAGTCGTCCGCAACGGCGTAGGCTGCAGTGGGGCTGCAGTGGGCTGCCGTGAGCTACCGTGAATGGCCGGCAGCCAGCACGAGCATCCGGCAGCCGGCGTGAGCTGCCGTGAGCCAGGGCTGTCCAATGGCTGGAGACCAACTGCCTCAGCCCAGAAAGAGCAGAATGATCACAATACCAACACGGGCCAGTAAAGCGAAGTCCTCCTCAACGAGACTGAAGAACAAAAGGACAGCAATTTGTCTGTTCCCCTTCCCCAATTCCCTAACGCTGTTCCCCTCCCCCAAATCCCCAATAAAATCTTTAAAAAAAAAAAAATGTGGTACAGCAATATACTGGGATAATACTTGGCAATAAAGGAATAAAGTACTGATACATGACAAAACATGAACAAACCTAAAAACGTTAAGTGAAAATAGAAAACAGTCACAAAAAAAAACACGTATTATGAAATTTCATTTATATGGGATGTCCATAACAGACAAATCTATGGAGACAGAAAACAGATTTAGAAGTTGCTTAGGGTTGGGTAGGATGAGGGCTTTGGGTGACTGCTAAGTGTATGGGGTTTCTTTTGGGGGTTATGAAAATGTTTAGAATTAGACTGAGGTGATGGTTGCACAACACTGTTATATATCAAAAATTACTGTACACTTTAAATGATGAATATATTGTATGATGAATTATATGCTATGTGAGTTATGTCTTAAAGCAATTACCATAAAAAAAAATAAAAACTTTCTCACACAAAAAAAGAGAATTAATTAGCAACTTGTCTACATTACAAGAAGTGATAAAGGAAGTTCTTCCAGCCGAAAAAAAAATACTATGTGATACTGGACAGAAACTGGGATTTATGCAAAGAAATAGCCCTTGAGATAGCAAAAGGTATGCAAGTCTTTATTTTTTATCTCCATTGCTCTAAAAGACAATTAACTATCTAAAGCAAAAGAGTATCAACGTATTGTGTGTTTATAACATAAGCAAAAGTAAAATATATGGCAAAAATAACACAAAAGAGGGCAGAAAGGAATTGGGAGTTAAACAGTCTGTTACACTACACGTGAAACAATTAACAGTATTTGACAGTGACTGTGATTAATTAAATTTGTGTTTGTAAACTCCAGGGCAACTACTAAACTTTTAAAAACTTTTAAACTTTTAAAAGACATATAACTAGAAGTGAAATGGAATCATAAAATACTACTCAGCAAATACAAAAAAAAGGACAGAAAAAGAAACAGTTGGAACAAATCAACAGCTTTCAAAATGGTAGATTTTAATACAACTATAAATGTAAATGTAAAAGAAGTTGTTAGCCTTGATAAAAAAGATAAAAAGGACTGTCAGACTGGATAAAAAAGCATGGCTAAATAAACAAGTAAAACCCAGTTTGACTATAAAGATCCAGATTTACCAACCAGACAACTAACAGTCTACCAATGGTGGCAAAAACTTAACTATCAATTGATAAAGATTATCGCACTGTAAAAAATAACTATTATGAATAATTCTCAAGTGAAAGTAACTTGAGTACATTCAATAAATCTAACCATAGTGACAACCACCTCTAGATGTAATTGTGATTTAACAACAAAGAGCTGTTTTGATTAATTTTACAAGGCTGAGAATTATACCTTAAATCGCCAAAACTCAAATTCATAGTGAAAAAAAGCCTTATCTTCAATCAACTGTTGTAATAATTTCAACTAGTTATCATATGTACTTCCTCAAAAGTTCACTGAAATATTTGAACATTTCACATCATATTAAAATGGAAACATATAATTATTAGCCTCTGTGTCCCAATCTAGCCAGCTCGCAGGAGTCTGGGGAGCCATGCCATGACCCACCCCCTCCACCCCTCACACTCCTGCCTACTTGGCACTGCAAGTGGCGAAGAGTGGGCCACTGTCTGCAAAAGGCACTCCGATTCTGTGCCCACTATGCCCTGGCTGCTGCAACCCTGGAGGCTGAGGTGGGCACTGTCCAGATGCTGATATCAGCCCCACTCTGCTCTCAGTGCATAATTCACAAACATTAATGGATAACAATAGAAAATGTTAGTGGCCAGTGGGAAACATTTTTGCACAGGAAGCTTTGGGAAATGTTGTTTACTATAGTCTCCCTGAAGTTCAGACAAAATTGAACAAACAAGATGAGTTTGGTGCTTTGGAAAGTGTGAAACCTGTTAGAGAACGCTGTTCTCCTCTATCAGGATTAATAACTGAAATTAATGAAGCTTTTGCATAAAATCCAGGACTTGTCAACAAATCTTGTTATGAAGATGATTGGTTGATTAAGATAAGATGACACTGAGTAACCCTTCAAAGTTAGATGAACTAATGAGTGAAGAAGCATGTGAAAAATACATAAAATCTATTAAGGAATGAAAGTAGAACCCCCCACCCCCCAATGAACTAGTATGAAACAACTTTAAATAAATACCTTTGCAATTGAGTAATGAAATCAGAGAACACAAAACCATCAACAAAGGATTTTTATATTGTAATTTATAATAATAAATATATACTTAGTGTTTGTCCCCTGCACAGAGCTTCTAAAACTCTTGGAATTTCCTAAGTGAAAAGAGCAATAAAGGTGTATTTTGTTATTCATAACAAGCCCCTTTCAATCACTCCTGAGTTTATGTTAATGAGTTTACTTTTAGAAAGCCCCAAAGGATGGAAGCTGGTTACCAGGGGAACCAACCATTGTGATTAGAGGGTTGAAACTTTTAGCCCCATCCCCCAACCTCCATGGAGGGGAGAGGGGTTAACTGGAGGGTGAATTAACCACCAATGCCAATGATTTAGTCAACCATGCCTGCATAATGAAGCCTCCATAAAAATTCTTGGAATACAGGGTTTGGAAAGCTTCTGAGTTGGTGAATATGTGGAAGCACTGAGGGGGTGGCACACTGGAGAGGGCATGAAAGCTTCACAACCCTTCCCCCATATCTTGTCCTATGCATCTCTTCCATGTGGCTGTTCCTGAGTCATAGCCAAATAAAATAAAATAAAAAAATACAGGGCTGGCTGAGTGGCTCAGCTGGTTAAGAGCTCGCTCAAGGGTTTAAGCTTTGAGCAACAGCGGTTCGAGTTCAGTCCGAGCTGAGCTGCCACTGAGCTTCCACCAGGTGGCAGGATGGCTCAGCTAAAAAAAAAAAAAAAATACAGTCATCTAGTAAGTAAACTGAGTTTTGTGAGCCATTCTAGCAAATTAATCAAACCTGACGAAGTCATGGGACCTTCTAATTTATAGCCAGTCGGTCAGAAGCACAGGTAACAACCTGGACTTGTAATGGCCGAGTGAAGTAGGGGTAGTCCTGTGGGACTGAGCCCTTAACCTGGGGGATCTGATACCATCCTTTTGTGTGGGGAAAAAAGCCCTATATATGACAAGAGTGGAGTACTGGGAGTAAACACATAGAAGAGTTTTTCCCTTACAATTTTACTAAGTGACTTTCTAAGTTAAGTCGAATTATCTGCATTTTATTGACAAGGAAACAGAGGTGGGCTAAAAGCAGTGACTTAGCCTGAGGTCCACATAGCAAGGACTGAAGCAAAGATTCAAGTCTAAATGTGCCTAACTCTAACGGTCACATTTTTAATTTTCACACACTGCCTCTAATAAGTCAACTGTATAAGCTACAGGTAATTGTGACTCCTAAAAATTTTAATGGAATCCAAAATAAACAGGAAGTACATACATCCTTATTCAGAGAAATCTCTTCCTAATGAAAAAACTAGTGTCAATTTTATGACTGCTGCAATTACTAAACCATTCTCAACACAGAAATAAAAACATACGTGCAATTTTTCTTTTAGCCAAACACTTTGCTCTATTCAGCTGTTTTGTCTTCGTTTGCTGCAATCCATTCTCTTCCTTTGGTTCCTGTTGCAAAACAAGAAATATGATCAGGATAGCTACCATTTAAAGTAGTACTCTTTCAATCTCCTCTGTAGCTAAGAGGCCGCTGAACCTCTGAAGAATCACTGGTTGTAAATGTTCACAGAAAAACATTAGTAAAAGTTCCTTTATAGTACAAAAAAAATGTAGATCTAGAACCAATAAATACCATAAAAATAAAAAATTTAAATATATTCACGTTTCATATACATGCTCATGTAAAAACTGGTCATTCTGCAAAACAGCAGTAAGCATGTACCCAAGTTCAGAAAAAGCTTGATTCAAGGATTAAAAATCAATAATGTTTCAACTCAGTGAGTATTCATTTATTTCCAATCTGCACTTAACAAAGCAACAGAACAACTGAGGACAAGTATGCAACATTTTGTCAGATAAAAGGCTAATTTTCCTTATACAGTCATGTGCCGCATAAAGACATTTGTCAATGAAAGACCGCATACACAACAATAGTACCATAAGATTACAATGAAGCTGAAAAGTTCCTATTACTGAGTGACGTCATAGCCATTGTAATGTCACACACAACCTATTATATGATTGTGGTGATGGTGTAAACAAATCTGCTGTGCTGCTAGTCATATAAAAGCATAGTATAAAGGGCCAGCCGAATGGCCCAGTTGGTTCAGAGTTTGCTTAAGAGTACAAGCTCTGAGCAACAGGGTCGCTGGTTCGATTCCCACATGAGCCAGTGAGCTTCGCCTGAGCTGTGACTGAGCAGAGCTGCCACTGAGCTGACAACAGGTGGCAGGATGGCTCAGCTGGAGAGAGCACATGCTCCTAATGACAAGACTGTCTGTTCGATGGTGGGCTATGCCCACTCGTGGCTAGGACTGAATTTGGCACCTTGAGCTGAGCTGCCGCCCAGATGGCTCAGTGAATAGAGCCTGCGCTCTTAACAACAAAGCTGCTGGTTCAACTCCCACATGAAGAGAAAAAAAACAAAAAAGTATAGTATAAACAATGTGTACAGTACATAATACTTGATGACAATAACAAATGACTACATTACTACTTTATGTATTTACTATACTTTTCAGCAGCCTCTTGATTGCATCATTTTATCTTGTGCTTGATGAATCTCGTGATACAGAAGCATGCTGTACAGGTTTGTAGCCTAGGAGGCTATACCACATAGCCTAGGTGTGTAGCAGACCACACCACCTAGGTTTGTGTAAATACACTCTATCATGTGCACATAACAATGAAATCTCCTAACCACGCATTTCTCAAAATGTGTCCTGTCGTGAACTGTGGCACATGACTATATATAAAGACCACTTAAAATCAATAAAAAGACCAATATTTAGCCTCTTCCCATAGGAAAGAACATGATAAGACCTTCACAGAAAAACATACACAAGGGACTCATAAATATATGGGAAGATGCTCAACTTCATTTTGGAAATGCAAATCAAAACAATTATATAAATATTATTTCCTTTTACCTACACTAGTAAAAATAAAAATGTTTCTTAAAAAACACTTATTATGGGAAAACAGTACTCTCATACCACTGATGGGATAAAATGGATGCAGTATTTAGAGGGCAAATTAGCAATAACCTTCAAACTCATACACAGATTCTGCCCAGCAATATACTTCAAGGAATTTATTCTACAGATACGCTAACATTAGCACAAAGGCATACACAATTATGTTCAGAGTACAATGTTTTGTCATTGTAAAAGACTGTAAACCTCAATCAATGCTACTCAAAGTATGATCTACAGATGGGTGACATCAGCGAACTGCTTGCTACTGGTCTGCAATGAAATGAGCATGGAAATTGAGAATAAGCATTTAAAAAACTTTGACAGCAATTTGACACTACTATATGCATGTACAAGATAAGAGGACTTCAATGGTGAAAGCTGCAGACTAGTCATTCACAAAAGGTCCAAATTATAATACGTGATATTTTAAGCTTAGTTATTAATGAAACTCTAAAGTATATAAATACCTGAGACTGGGCCGGTCGAGTGACTCAGTTGGTTTAGCACATGAGCTCTGAGCAACAGAGTTACCGGTTCGATTCCCACAAGGGCCAGTGCGCTGCGCCTGAGCTGAGCTGCCACTGAGCTGCCAACAGGTGGCAGGATGGATCAGCTGGTGAGAGCACATGCTCCTAACAACAAGACTGCCTTTTCGATGGTAGGCTACGCACGCCCGCAACTAAAGACTGAACTTGGCACCTTGAGCTAAGCTGCTGCCCGGAGGGCTCAGCGAATAGAGCATGCGCTCTTAACAACAAGACTGCCAGTTTGACTCCAGCATGGGATGGTGGCTACGCCCACCTGCAACTAAGACTGAACTCGGCACCTTGAGCTGACCTTCCACAAGCTGCCGACAGGTGGCCAGACGGCAACTGGACTTGGAGCTGAGTTAGCTGTGCCCTCCACAACTAAGACTGAAAGGCAACAACTTGGCTGTTCCCCTTCCCCAATTCCCCAACACTGTTCCGCTCCCCCAATTCCCCAACTTAAAAAAAAAAAGTATTGCTTTAAAAAAAAAATTGGGGGCCAGCCGAGTGGCTCGTTCGTTAAGAGTTGGCTTGAGAGCGCGAGCTCTGAGCAGCAGGGCCGCCGGTTCGGATCCCACAAAGGCCAGTGTCGCTGCGCCCTCTAGAGCTAAGATGGCAAACAACAACTCAACCTGGAGCTGGGCTGCCATGCGTCGCCGGCAACGGTGTAGACTGCAGTGGGGTTGCAGTGGGTTGCCGTAAGCTACCGTGAGTGGCCGGCAGCCAGCATGAGTGGCCAGCAGCCGGCAAGAGCCACCATGAGCAGCCGTCCAATGGCTGGCGACAGATCTGCCTCAGCCGGGAAGAGAGCAATGATCACAATACCAACATGGGCCAGTGAAGCTATGTCCTCCACACCAGGCTGAAGAGCAAAAGGATAGCAACTTGTCTGTTCCTCTCCCCCAATTCCCCAATAAAATCTTTAAAAAAAAAATTTTTTTAATCTTTGGATAAAGGATTACAGAAAAATATTGATATAAAGATCTAAAGATCTAACTAAGACTCAAATTTTTTCAATATAGATGTATACTGTTGAGAGATACAAATAAATATGGTAGGATTATAAAGAAAAGCATGGAAAGATAAAACAAATACAGTGGTTACCTTTAGATGGGTGGAAAGGGATGCAATTGGAGAGGGTCACACTAAGTCAAGAGGGCTTCTAAGGTGGTAATACAGATGTTCAGATTATTTTATAAAACTATGAATTTACATTTTATGTGCTCTCCTGTATTTTGACATATTTGAAAATTTTTTAAAATTTAATGAGATGATCTGTATGTGCTGTTACACAAACATCTCCAAGAAATATTAAGTGAAAAAGCAAAATAGTGGGCCGGCCGAGTCGCACGTTGGTTAAGAGCTGG